CAAGGGGGAAGAGGGGAGGGCAGAAAGTTCAGAGTTATCCAAATGCATCCCACTGTGCTGGCCCAGTAACATTACGGCGTCACCTACAGCCCCACGGGCACCGCTTAATCAGCCAGTGCCTTCACCCTGATTGAAATTGCTCTTCTCCCATCTCTGACTTGTTCGTACACTCTGTGCCCCGCTCTCAGTGTGGTGCCCGTGGCTGAACCCACAGCTTTCTGGGCTTACCCTGCAGCAGGGGTAAGCAGCACAAAGTCCCGGGTTACCTGGGCATTGTCTCAGGGGAGAAATGCATGAACAAAATATCCTGGTCATCTGCAACAGTCTGTCCCAGAGGTTTGTAGTGAGTGAGAGGCAGACCGGCCAGGTGCTTGCAGGGAGCATCTCCTGCACGTCCTGGCCCTTGTCCCTAATGGATGGCCTGTGCAATTAATGGGGAAAGCAGGGCAGGGAGAGGCAGCCCCGAGAGTGCTTCGACTTTATGATGTACTTTTGCGTGGCATCAGCAAGGTCTGAGGAATGTCTCTGGTGAGGGAAGGTTAATGCTCCCTGGCTGGAGACGAGGCAGTCTGGCCGTTGCTCGGGGCACCACCAAGTCTGCTGAGCAGTGGCTGTGAGGAGGCTCCCACGGCCTGAATGCAGACGCTTCGTCACTGTGCTGTGCCCAGGGGATGCCGGGGCAAAGCCGAAGCCAAGCGTTGAAGCCAGGCTGAAGGAAGCAGCAGTCCTGCACACCCTGAAATGATGGGCTGAGCCAGAGAGGATCACTGCTGAGCTTCTCTCAGCTCCCAGCGTTGGGGACCGCACACATGAGTCACAGATGGGACACACAATCTGGAAGGCAGTGGGGAGCTGTCACTGACCTCTTGTGCTGATGAAGGGGACAGACTCAGGTGCCACTAAGGGAGTTTTGGGGTGCAGAGCAGGGTCTCCTAGAAGTGGAGAGGACTGTAGCGTCTTGTACAGCCACCTGTCAGCAGCCCAACACTTGTGCCTTGAGTTTGCCAATGCCCCAACCCAAACCCAGGCCCCCAGTGGCTTTAAAGGTGTGAAAGACTTGAACCACATAGCTCAAGTGAATGAAGCAGGACAGATGTGGCTCTTAGGAGCACATGGAGCCCTTCCCTTTGCCGGTACCATGCATGGCTGCTGTGCTGGAGATAAGATGGGAGCTGGACACCGTGGACACCAGAGCTGACATGTCCCTCCCAGCTGGGCTGCAGGAGGGCAGGTTGCTTGCAGAGACACTGAGCTAGCATGGCCTTGCTCTTATGCAGTAATTTGCACCTGTAGGGTGCAAAAAATTTCAAAGCTGAAGCACAGAGGTGGGCATCTGCCCTTCGTCATGTCACACAGCTTGGCGGGGCCGGAGCCAGGCCAGGGGTTCCTGTCCCACCGTGGGCTATTGCCTTGCAGACAGCTTTGCCCTCCAGACTTCTGTACTGCATCTATCCAACAAGGCGTGTGAGCAGCTATTGGCCTTCATCCCTTCCTCCTCCTCCTCCTCCTCCTCCTCCCAAATGCCTGCAGCAGTGCTTCAGCATGCTTGCAAAATGGGGTTCCTCTGGCACCAAGCATTGCCCCGAGTGCTCCCGAAGGACATGAAATGAGGGCAAACTTCCTTTCCCGTTGCCTAGTGTTGCACAGACAAAATTTTGGTGGTTTAGAACGCCCAAGCTGTCGGGAGCTGCCACTAGAGGTTGCTCGCATGCCTTGCTGCAGGCTGGGTGCTGCCAGGGCTGCGGGGCGCTGCAGGGCCAGAGCACGGCTTTTGCTCAAGACACAGCTCAAGGACTTCCCTCCAGCCCTGCTCAGAGCCCGGCTTTGAAGCAGGTACCAGGGAAAGGTGTCCCACAAAGCTCTGGTTTGAGCCACAAATACCCCATTGCCTCCTCCGGCACAGCCTGGCTTTGCTGTGCCCGCAGTTCCTGGGGTTGCCACCAGCTACTTGGCAGCCCTTGGCAGTGTGATGGATGCTGTGGGGTGGCAGTGGGGTCTGCGAGATGGGAGAAAGCCTGGCAGGTTGGTCCGGCTCTCCTATGGCATCATGCCCAGCCAGATGGCCCCATGGGTTCACATTGAGGGGACATCACTGGGGTGGAGAGAGCACACAAATATGTGTTTACCAGGGCACGCAGGGGCTTCATTTCCAGTCTGCAGGTGGATGTCCAGGCTCCCACTTCCCTCTGTCCTGCGTCCCTGGCTGCCATCAGCCTTGGCTGAGGTCAGTGCTGTGGAGCTGGCGACACCATCTCCTCCAAGGTGTGAGCCCCCAGCTCTCCTGTGCAGGGCTTTGCAGAGAGACACTGGGAGCCTACTCATCCTGGATGGATGGAAAGGCTCCCCCCACATTAGCGGTGCAGGATCAGGCCCTTAGCATCTGTTATTTAGAGGCCCAGGGCAGGGTGGTGGTGAGAAGTGCCACAGCCACAGCCCAAATCCAGACCAGCTGCCCGCTTCCATGCAGGGTGGATCTATTTGCATCCTACGTGTATCTCTGCAAGATACAAACCAGACCTCGCTTGGGGTACCCCAGGTGTGCCCCTGCATGGGGGCTGTGTCTGCTCTCAGGTAAGCCCTCTTGGTGCTGCCGAGGCTTCGTGAAGCATCCTGGGCTGGAGTAATGGGCCCCCTGATGACAGGAGGGTTGAAGAGTGATGCTGTGAAGCAGCAGTGTTGGAAGAGCTGGAGGAGCCTGAAGAACAGCAAAAGAGGGGGACTACGGGCTGAAGCAGCAGCAGGAGAAGAAAATGCCATCCCAACGCACCTCCTCCAGCTCTGCTCCCAGCACCGTGCTTGCTGCATCCCAAGCGACTGTGCCCGTGGTGGCCGGGCAGGCAGAGGAGTCATGTCCTCCCTTGGCAGTGGCAGTGCTGGCACGGCAGTGACTTGCAGACACAGATGCGCACCCATCAGGATGCAGCTCTGTTCCCAGCATCGCTGGCTGTGACTCAGAGAGTGCCTCGGGAGAGCAAACCAGGTGGGGAAGATGGTGCCTTTTTGTTGTTTGGAAATGGAACCACTTTTTAACATGGAGGCCTGTTTCAATTCACCAAGGTGTTTTGCAGACACCGCAGCATCCACTGGGCAATGAGACACTGCAGAGAGGAAGGAGGGCTGCAATTAGTGTGGGCTGTGGGTGAGATGGGAGCAGCCAGGTCATGCCGTGGGCATCCGAGAGGCCAGCTGGATTTGGGCACTGCCAGATCCACGCTGGCATTCAACATGGATGGTTTCTGGAGGAGAGGATTTTTGTTTGCATGCTTACCCTGGTGCCATGAAATGTGATTTTGGGAGGCATTTTCTCTTGCCTGCTCCTGCCCACACAGCTCCCTCCTGGCAGGGCAGTGAGCAGCAGCAATACCAAGGGGCTGCCAGCGTGATTGATGGGAGTTGCAGCATTTTGGGTCGGGGCACACATATTTAGTGGTAAATCCACAGCAGGATAATTACCTCTCTTTGTGGATGGTGGCTTTATTAAAAAGAAATAAATAAAGCATCTTTAAAGGAGAGGCGAGCAAGAGACACAAACCCCATCCTTGGGGCAATGCAGACGGATGAGTAATGGGGCCCTTTGAGTAAGTGCCTGCCCAGCCAGGCCAGCTCTGAGTCACTGAGCAAACAGCACCAGCCTGGAGCTGGCAGCAGGGCTATTCTTAGCCGCTCGCCTGTCAGGAGATGCTGCTGAGGGAGAGGAGACAGGTTAAGGGGTGTCAGTAGGGGAAAACATTTGCTTTCCAACTAAAAAGCCCCCAGAGCCAGCCTGGAGATGGCAAGTGTGAGGATGAGGAGGGTGGCTGCTGCCGCACCGGGGAGCTCAGGCCGAGTTTGTCAGGGAGCTGGAGGGAGGGAAAAGGCACCTGGGGAGACGGGTGCTCCTTGGCCATGCGCATCGCCGGAGGGACCTGGAGGCTCCCCATTCCCAGGGACAGCAGGCAGCAGAGACTGAGCATCGCCCTCACCTGCCCCCTGAAGCATCCCCCCCTTCCCACTCGCCCCGCAGGGTCCCACTTTGAGCTTCCCAAGAGCAACCTCCTCCGAAGCA